CAGCCTGCGGCAAATGCAGCCGGGCCGATGGCCGAGTGCTGTGATGTGCCCAGTGTGGGCACTCAGGGCACTCCAAGACAGGACTGCTTTGCTGTCCCTCATCGAGTTAGACAAGCAAGCGGGGAACCCTGAGAACTGTCTGTCCAGGGTGGGGGTCGGGTCCCTTTAAGCACAGCCCTCAGCTAGCCTGAGGCAGCAGCTCCACGCTCTAAGTCCTAATCTGATGCCCTGCTGGCACTGCTTCCGGCCAGCCTTAACCCCGGTTCAGGGTCCACTTAATGTGGACATGCTGGTTCGAATTAGCAAAACACTGATTCGAACTAGTTTTTAGGTCTAGATGCACTAATTCGAATTAGCTTAGTTCAAAATAACTAATTCGAATTAAGTTAGTTCGAATTAGTGCTGTAGTGTAGACATACTACTCTCTAAGGCCTGGTCTACAGTAGGGCTTTATTTTGAAATAACCCCCCGAGGTTAAATTAATAAGTGGCATGTCCACATGACCAAACCTCGATTTATTTCGAATTCGCGGGCTGCTTCATTCAAAATCGTCACTCCTGTGTTTCATTGGGTATGTCTAGACTACAGGGTTTTGTCGACAGAAGATTTGTTGACAGATAGTGTGTCTAGACTACAGGGTTTTGTCGACAGAAGATTTGTTGACAGATAGTGTGTCTAGACTACAGGGTTTTGTCGACAGAAGATTTGTTGACAGATAGTGTGTCTAGACTACAGGGTTTTGTCGACAAAAATGGACTTTTGTTGACAAAATGATCCCTGCCTCTACACTGCCGCTGAGTTCTGTCGACATAACGTCGACAGAATTCGGCAGTTTTGTTGACGGTGGTAAACCTCATTTTACGAGGAATAACGTCTTTGTCGACAGAGTTCTGTCGCCAGAAGGCGTTATTGCATCTACACTGTCCTTTGCGTCTACACTGTCATGTCGAAAAAGCGGCTTGCTTTGTTGACGGAACTGGATGTCATCTTTGTCGATAGAAGGTTCATCGACAGTATCTGTTGACAAAACTTCTGTCAACAAAAGCCTGTAGTCTAGACCTACCCATACTCTCAACAAAGCTTCTGTCGACAAAGAGCGTCTAGACGACATCCAGTTCCGTCGACAAAGCAAGCCGCTTTTTCGACATGACAGTGTAGACGCAAAGGACAGTGTAGATGCAATAACGCCTTCTGGCGACAGAACTCTGTCGACAAAAGGTGTTATTCCTTGTAGAATGAGGGTTACCACCGTCGACAAAACTGCCAAGTTCTGTTGACGTTATGTCAACAGAACCCGGCATGAGGTTTACCACCGTTGACAAGACTGCCAAGTTCTGTTGACGTTATGTCCCATTGGGAGTAGCGTTCCTTCCGAAAGGGCGATTTCGAAAGAGCAGTCGGGTGGACGTGTCGGTGCAGCTATTTTGAAATAACGATGTGTCAGAGTCATTGTTAAATCCGGAGTTACTCAGTCCAATTTAGCTGTTTTGAAATAGTTTCCTCGTGTAGCCATGGCCTAAGGTACCACAGGCTCCCTCGTTGTTGTTAAAGTTACAGACTAATCCAGCCACTCCTCGGAGACTGATCATTATCAAGTAACGGTTGTGAGAAAGACCTGCGGACATTTGGATTGTTTTTGCTCTTGGCCTCGGCGTTTGCGGACGAGAATTGTTTTCATGGCGGTGTGTTGTGTTCAGTACATGCCTGGAAAAGCGAGCATCCAAACTTAATCGATCAGCCTTCTTTCAGCAGTTCATTGTGGGCACGTAGGTTTGCTGGTGAGTGACTAAAACTGCTTGCTGACTTAAGATGAGCCAAAGGTCCTGATCCGGCGAGAAGTGTCCAAGAAAAAAGTTGGGCTAAGAAATGCCCATCATTCAAATTAGTACGGTCGTGATCCCCAGAATGCAGGTCGGCGAGAAGTGTCCAAGAAAAAAGTTGAGCTAAGAAACGCCCATCGTTCAAATTAGTTCGGTCGTGATCCCCAGAATGCAGGGAGCTGTATTAAACTTAACACATATATGAGTGAGAATGTGCCCTCTAATATTTTTCCATTCATGTGCAGAATAAATTTTATTGTGATGTGCACCAAAGGGTATGTGACTGTGCACCACCAGGAGAAATGGCATGTTTCCAGGGGTGGGTGCATTGCTGAACAATGGGGAAGGGCATTTGAATTTCTGCTGGTTGGCTGCCCAGGTGCTCAGCTTACAGGGAAGACCGATCCGCGATATTTACCAAAACGGGAAAGTCTGCTCGGTTACATTTGGGTGTTAAAATCTAACTGGTACATTGGCAAATGGATGACGTTGGCCCTCATCTGTGCTAATACCAGTAAAGTCCCTTGCCAAAGGCCACTGAGAAAATAGAGAGGTGGACTTTAAAATCCCAGGGCGAGCAGAAACCTATTCTGGGCAGGACGAAAGAAAACTGGCCTGAACCCGTGCGGACCCTGCCACCCCCAGGGGCAGCCGTTCCGCCTCCGATGCCGGCCTCCCCAGAGGTTGGAGGATGGATTGCTCCCGTTGGCTGACTTCCGAGCCATGATTTCCCTGTGATGAGCCTGGTTGTGACCATCCCCCTCCACGTGTTCCCGTTCCTCTTCTTGGCCGACCCATGGTTCTTGGGTGAAAGTTCTGGTCTTCACAACATCCCCCAGCAAAGAGTTCCGCAGGTTGACTATGCGCTGCGTGAAAAAAAAACTTTCTTTGCTTTGTTTTAAACCTGCTACCTATTCATTTCATTGGGTGACCCCTCATTCTTATGTGACGGGAGCAAGTCAATCACTTTTCCTTATTCACTTTCCCCGCACCAGTCAGGATTGTATAGACCTCTCTCCTATCCCCCCCCGTCCCTTAGTCTGTATTCTGACACACAGAGACTAGGGACACCCTCCCGACCCTGCCTGGCTAATCGCCATTGATGGACCTCACCTCCAACAAGCTCTTGTTTGAACTCTGTGAAAGTCCTGGTCTTCACAACATCCCCCAGCGAGGAGTTCCACAGGTTGACTGTGCGTTGCGTGAAAAAAAAAATTCCACAGGTTGACGGTGCACTGCATGAAAAAAAAATCCTTTCTTTGGTTTGTTTTAAATCTGCTACCTATTCATTTCATTCTGTGACCCCTCGGGTCTTGCTCACCGCCCTTCTGCGAATGCCACCCAGAATCACGTTGGCTTTTGTTTGCCACAGTGTCACCCTGTTGACTCACATTCGTCTTGTGACCCACTAGGGATGGTTATCGAGCCAGCTAACTAAGGAGAAGGAGAAGGGAGCTTGCTACACCTCGAGGCAGGGCAGAGATCCGAGGGCATGTCAGTCTGACCTGACACCCGAACGCTTTGGCTGGGCCACCTGGGGTTTGGGGGCTTGCCTGGGGTGGCCCACGGGCACCAGTCCCTGGAAGCCAAAATGAGCACATCCAAGGCAGAGCTCAGACACATGGGACCAAACTCGGGGCCCCAAAATATTTCAGTGATGCTGGCAGGCCAGGGGCCAGGCCGAGCCAAGGTGGTAGGCTCTAGCTGAGAACTAGCAGACTCAGGGCTGTAGCCCGGATCAGTTCCCAGGCCCGTTAACTGTGGCACAAAAAAGGTTTGAGTCTCCCAAAAGGCTGCATGCTTTTGACTCCATCGTGAGGTCAGTACCTCATTGTAGCGGGGTGCTAATGCAATCACACCTAAGTAGCCCCTGACAGCTCCTATCAAGGGGAACAGATCGGAACTGATGAAAGGACCCGATGACGGACATAGGCTCTGATGGCTGGGAAGGAGCCAGACGGAGAAATACGCTCAGGTGAAGAAAGACCGTCTTTGCCTCAGAAAGGAATTTTTCTCCTAGATCCTGTTTGTTTCCTTGGGGTTTCATTTTCTGCTTTATTGTCCAGCCCGGGCGGTGGCTTAATCGGTAGCAGATTAAAAACAACCTGAAGAAGTTTTTTTTCCTTCATGCAACAACACAGTTCACCTGTGGAACTCCTCGCCGGAGGATGTGGTGAAGCTCAAAATGTGTAAACTCTCTGGAAAAAGGGCTCCGTGAAAACAATGGGTCCAATAGGAAGAGAGATTAAAAAGATGGTGACTTTTCAGCTTACAAAAGAGGAGATTCGGGGGAAGGGAGATAGGAAAGAGGTCTGTAAAATCATGACAGGTGTGGAAAAAGTGAATAAGGAAAAGTGATTGACTTGTTCCCACAATGTAAAAAATAGGGGTCACCCAATGGAATGAAGAGGCAGCAGGTTTAAAACAAACCAAAGCATGTTTTTCTTCACACGGTGCACAGTCAACCTGTGGAACTCCTCGCCAGAGGAGGTTGTGGGGCACCTGGCATTGGCCACTGTGGGTAGACGGGCTACTGGGCTGGATGGGCCTTTGGTCTGACCCCGTCTGGCCAGTCGGCTGTTCTTATGGCTTTCCCCAGTTCCTAGAGTTCAAGGTGTAACCCAGTTAATGCAAATGCCCCCCCTTACCGAATTCCTAACACTTAGGGCGTAACTGCCCGCCGGTTGCCAGGTTCTTTTGCCCAGGAATTAGCCTCCCACATGACTACCCTACTTAATCTCCAGTAACACTCATCAAAAGCAGCAGGCCTACGCGAAGCACGCGATCCTTCCGACCCGGCCGCGCCACCTTCATGGAGTGACACCCCCGGAATGAATGGTACAGGTACCGAATTCCTAACACTTAGGGCGTAACTGCCCGCCGGTTGCCAGGTTCTTTTGCCCAGGAATTAGCCTCCCACATGACTACCCTACTTAATCTCCAGTAACACTCATCAAAAGCAGCAGGCCTACGCGAAGCACGCGATCCTTCCGACCCGGCCGCGCCACCTTCATGGAGTGACACCCCCGGAATGAATGGTACAGGGCAGCAGAAACCATTCACACCCACACCGAGACCAGCCAGACCAACCGCAGCCACGGGAGGGGCCACGAACACCGAATGCGGCTCCCACAAGTCCTGGGCGATCGATAAACGGTTTCTTGCCGTGACCTACGTTTTCTTGGCCCGGCTTGAGACGATTTCTTTAGCTGGTGGCAGGGTCACCTCCTTCCCAGTCTGGTGTGACACGCTTTTAGTGCCGTTTAGATGGACTCTCCGGACGTGGCGCCAAACTTGACAGCTAATGGCTGCTGCTCTTTCAATATGGCTGCAGAGGAAGGCTTTAGGCCTTCCAATATGGTTACTGGCCTTCCAATATGGCTACACGCCTTCCAGTATGGCTATTGCCCTTCCGATATGGCTATACACCTTCGAATATGGCTACCAGCCTTCCACAACCAGCCCCAGCCACGGGAGGGGCCACGAACACCGAATGCGGCTCCCACAAGTCCTGGGCGATCGATAAACGGTTTCTTGCCGTGACCTACGTTTTCTTGGCCCGGCTTGAGACGATTTCTTTAGCTGGTGGCAGGGTCACCTCCTTCCCAGTCTGGTGTGACACGCTTTTAGTGCCGTTTAGATGGACTCTCCGGACGTGGCGCCAAACTTGACAGCTAATGGCTGCTGCTCTTTCAATATGGCTGCAGAGGAAGGCTTTAGGCCTTCCAATATGGCTACACACCTTCTACTATGGCTACCGGCCTTCCACTATGGCTACACACCTTCCACTATGGCTATCGGCCTTCCAATATGGCTACACACCTTCTACTATGGCTACCGGCCTTCCGCTATGGCTACACGCCTTCCAATATGGCTCCCGGCCTTCCACTCTGGCTACCGGCCTTCCACTATGGCTACACACCTTCCACTATGGCTATCGGCCTTCCAATATGGCTACACACCTTCTACTATGGCTACCGGCCTTCCGCTATGGCTACACGCCTTCCAATATGGCTCCCGGCCTTCCACTCTGGCTACCGGCCTTCCACTATGGCTACACACCTTCCACTATGGCTATCGGCCTTCCAATATGGCTACACACCTTCTACTATGGCTACCGGCCTTCCGCTATGGCTACACGCCTTCCAATATGGCTCCCGGCCTTCCACTCTGGCTACCGGCCTTCCACTATGGCTACACACCTTCCACTATGGCTATCGGCCTTCCAATATGGCTACACACCTTCTACTATGGCTACCGGCCTTCCGCTATGGCTACACGCCTTCCAATATGGCTCCCGGCCTTCCACTCTGGCTACCGGCCTTCCACTATGGCTACACACCTTCCACTATGGCTATCGGCCTTCCAATATGGCTACACACCTTCTACTATGGCTACCGGCCTTCCGCTATGGCTACACGCCTTCCAATATGGCTCCCGGCCTTCCACTCTGGCTACCGGCCTTCCACTATGGCTACACACCTTCCACTATGGCTATCGGCCTTCCAATATGGCTACACACCTTCTACTATGGCTACCGGCCTTCCGCTATGGCTACACGCCTTCCAATATGGCTCCCGGCCTTCCACTCTGGCTACCGGCCTTCCACTATGGCTACACACCTTCCACTATGGCTATCGGCCTTCCAATATGGCTACACACCTTCTACTATGGCTACCGGCCTTCCGCTATGGCTACACGCCTTCCAATATGGCTCCCGGCCTTCCACTCTGGCTACCGGCCTTCCACTATGGCTACAGGAATTCCAATATGGCTACCCGCTTTCCAATATGGCTACGGACAAAGGCCTTCTCCTCACTCGGTGTGACAGACCATGGTGGGTCTGGGCACCGCTGAGGGCGTCCGCTCAAATTCGGGGTTCCTTACAGCCCCTGATGGGACGCCCTTCCCAAACAGGCCGCAAACCAGTCCCACCGAGCGCGTCAGTTACCGGTTTGGCCATCTGGAAGCCTCACGAGCAAAACCCCTCCGACACCCCAGCTCTCCTTGTGCCACAATCAGCCTCAGGCCTAAGACAGGTGAGGAGTTACAGAACCTGATCTCACCTACCCCGAACGGGTTCTTCCGGTCCCAAGAAACCTGGCACAGATCCCAGGTCAATTTACTCTCTGGATCTTATCCACAAATCACGCTGAGCCAGTCCTTTAGAATCTACCATCTAAAGGTTTATTACTACAAGAAAGAAAAGCCTGAGAGTGAGGTTGTGAAAGGATCATACGTTACATGCACCGAATCTCCCAGTTCTCGATGCAGGCTCGCAGCAGAGATGTTATAACTGCTGGCTTTAAAGTCTCTTGTGTCTATCCTATGCCAGGATGGGTCCACAGTTCTTTCCGGCTCGTTGTTCCCTGCAAGGCTGCATCTGGGATCAGGAGCTGAACTCGAGACCAGCTAGAGAGTGCCACATAGCACTTAGGCTGTGTCTAGACTACAGGGTTTTGTCGACAAAACCCTGTAGTCTAGACATACCCTTACAGACCACTCCTGGTCTCTTACAAGCTGCAGCAGGTCACCTGGTCAGAGGCCTATACCTGGGTGTGTCTACACTACAGGGTTTTGTCGACAAAACCCTGTAGTGTAGACACACCCAGGTATAGGCCTCTGACCAGGTGACCTGCTGCAGCTTGTAAGAGACCAGGAGTGGTCTGTAAGGGTATGTCTAGACTACATGCTTACGTCGACATAAGTTTTGTCGACAGAATCTGTCGACAAAACTTATGTCGACGTAAGCATGTAGTCTAGACATACCCTTACAGACCACTCCTGGTATCTTACAAGCTGCAGCAGGTCACCTGGTCAGAGGCCTATACCTGGGTGTGTCTACACTACAGGGTTTTGTCGACAAAACTCCACTATACCTGCATCTACGCTGCCACTGAGTTCTGTTGACATAACGTCAACAGAACTCGGCAGTTTTGTCGACGGCGGTAAACCTCATTCTAGGGGTATGTCTAGACTACATGGCTCTGTTGACATGGCTCTGTAGATGAGGTTTCAAGACATAGGGAAATGAAGTGGCAATTTAAATAATTGCTGTTTGTCGACACATACTGTCGACAAAGCTTCTGTCGACAAAGAGCGTCTAGACGACATCCATTTCTGTCGACAAAGCAAGCCGCTTTGTCGACATAACAGTGTGGACGTAAAGGACAGTGTAGATGCAATAACGGCTTCCGTCGATAGAACTCTGGGTATGTCTAGACTACAGGGTTTTTTGTCGACAAAACTATACCTGCGTCCACACTGCCTTTGAGTTATGTCGACATAACATTGACAAAACTCAGCAGTTTTGTCGACGTATGTAAACCTCATTCTACGAGGAATAACGCCTTTTGTCGACAGAGTTCTGTCGATAGAAGGCATTATTGCATCTGTACTGTCCTTTGCATCCACGCTGTTATGTGGACAAAGCGGCTTGCTTTGTCGACAGAAATGGATGTCGTCTAGACGCTCTTTGTCGACAGAAGCTTTGTCGATAGTATGTGTCGACAAAACTTCTGTCGACAAAACCCTGTAGTCTAGACATACCTTTTGGGTGTGTCTAGACTACAAAGTTTTGTCAACAAAAGTGGACTTCTGTTGACAAAACTATACCTACGTCTACACAGCCTACATAACGTCTACCTAAAGTCGACAGAACTCAGCAGTTTTGTCGATGACGGTAAACCTCATTCTACGAGGAATAACGCCTTTTGTCTACAGAGTTCTGTCGACAGAAGCCGTTATTGCATCTACACTGTCCTTTGCGTCTACACTGTCATGTTGACAAAGCGGCCTGCTTTGTCGACAGAACTAGACGCTCTTTGTCGACAGAAGCTTTGTTGACAGTATAGATGTGTCTATACTATAGAGTTTTGTTGACAAAACTATACCTGCATCTACACTGCCGCTGAGTTCTCTCGACATAATGTCGACAGAATTCGGCAGTTTTGGCGACGGCGGTAAACCTCATTATACGAGGAATAACGCCTTTTGTCAACAGGGTCCTGTCCACAGAAGCCGTTATTGCATCTACACTGTCCTTTGCATCTACGCTGTCATGTCGACAAAGCAGCTTGCTTTGTCGACGGAACTGGATGTCGTCTAGACGCTCTTTGTCGACAGAAGCGTTGTCAACAGTATCGGTCGACCAAAGCCTGTCGTCTAGACGTACCCTTTGGGGCAAATACCCTTAAAATCCAGTAACGGGACACACAATAACTCAGTGTAGGTCCTAGTGGAGGATTTGGGATGGGCAGACCAGACCAATTCATGGCAGAGTTTTCTGGCTCTAAAGTTTATGGATCTCTGAAACTGAGGCACGACGGATGAAAGGCTATACTTCACAAACAAGGAACCGGACTGACTTGGCCACTGGAAAAGCCAGCCGATCACTTCTGCACTGGAGGATAACTACCAGCAGAGAGTTGGCTCCTAGTGGAGGATTTGGGATGGGCAGACCAGACCAATTCATGGCAGAGTTTTCTGGCTCTAAAGTTTATGGATCTCTGAAACTGAGGCACGACGGATGAAAGGCTATACTTCACAAACAAGGAACCGGACTGACTTGGCCACTGGAAAAGCCAGCCGATCACTTCTGCACTGGAGGATAACTACCAGCAGAGAGTTGGCTTTGCTCCAAGCCATAAATCCATCCATTAGAAACGTGGGCGTCTCCCTGTCTGTGTGCGAGCCGGTTTGTTCACCGACTCCTCCTGAACAGGAAGAACCAAGACCACCCAGTTGGGTGGCTGCTTCCTCTAACCGACCTTAAAGCCAGGTCGGAGTTGGGTGGTGCCCGGAAAACCGGGTGGACTTGGAATGGGATTGTTTTCCACCACATGGGAAGGGAGGGGCTGTTTGGAGGGAGGAGATACTGTTCCCCCTCCAGTTCCACTTTGGCTTGCACCCCACTTTGCCCCCCTGTGCGGGAGTGCCGGCCTCCCCTCCCTGCCCCTGGGCCAGATGCGGGCAAGTCCAGGTAAGTCTAGTTTCATAGACAACTGTCCCCAATCGCAAGGGAACAGCATATTCCTTGTACGGATGCCAGTGATGTCCCATAGATTGGCTCCTGTTCCATGGTCTTGGGTCTTGGAATCTGGAGAGGCCTTGGCGAAACAGAGAACGGGGTGCCACCCGGATGCCCTAGGCCTGGGTCCGAGCCGGTGCCGAGGGGCCCATCCCCCTTGCGGGGCAGGGCCCTAAAGGAAGTTGGGGAGGCAGGTCCCTTGGCCGACTCTCTGGCTCCGGAAAGGACCACTGCCCCCGTAGGGTTCAGCCGGCCGGTGGCGGGGGATGCCGTGGGGGCCGAGGGTCTCTCCTGGTAAAGATGGAGGGCTACCATCCTTATCCGGAGATGGCAAGGCCCGAGTGGGAAGAGTGTGGCCTTTCCACACCCTCCCACACCTTTTCATCCCAAGTCCTGTGCTCCTGCGACAGGCTGACTCAGGCCTTTCATCTCCGAGTTTCATTCAGCACGGAGCTGGCTAAGTCTACGTATAAAAGCCCGGGGCTCCCGGGACGACCTGTCCTTCCACTGGAGACATGGGTACGTGCCGTGAGTAAAACTGCTCTGAAAACGTTTGCCAAGGGGATGGGTTGTGCTCTCTGCACCCAATTGACTTTCTGGTGCCTTCTGTTCTCCCTTGTTTGTCTTTTCCTTCCCCTCCGCCTCTCTCTTTCGGTCGTTTTTCTCCCGTCTTCCCTCCCTTCTCGTTCCAGGCCACACTGCGAATTTGGGGACACCGACAGCTCTAGTGGCCTCTTTTGGGCCACACCTGGCCAAAAAAACACACTTCGCTGGCAGGGGGGATACTGGGGTCATAGCTTTGAGTCTGTCCACGTTTTTTTTTACAACTAAAAAAACTAGGAACGGCTTTTTGTTTCCCGAGGCAGAAGGGGGACGGCTATTTCAGATTTGCTTTTGACCCGGGGAGGGAATTGTGCCTCTGAATGTGGAAATCAAAATTCAGCAGAAGAACGGGAACGATTCTGTAGCGGGAAGCCGATTTACTTGCCAAGGCATTTTCTCTTAGCGGAAGGTTTTTATTTGTTTCCAAAGTTGTTTAATTAAAAAAAAAGTGGCGTTGTTGTGGGTTTTGTTTCGGTTTGGTTTTAAAAATTGAAATTGTTTTTTTTTGGGGGGGGGGGGAGAAAAGATGCTTGCTTTTCTGTTCCTGAGCTTTGTTTGGTTTTGGGTTTGGGGTTTTTTGGGTCAGTAAAATAGAATATTTCCATGTCTGAGGGAAAACAAGGAAACTAATCGATTGCCAAAAAGAAACAAACCAAACCAAACCCCAAGGAAATTGCAGTTGGCATCATCTGAAGAAATGGGCCGTGCTCACGAAAGCTCACGACATGTTTTGTTTGTCTCTACGCTGCTGCTAAATGACTCATTGTTGTTTTGTAAGTTTTCCCAGTTGCGGACTAATGCTGCTCCGCCTCCGAAATAGGGGAAATTCAGTTTTGACGAGTCGCTTTTCCCCCCTTTGCTACCTCTACGGCTACGCCGTTGGCATCATCTGAAGAAATGGGCCGTGCTCACGAAAGCTCACGACATGTTTTGTTTGTCTCTACGCTGCTGCTAAATGACTCATTGTTGTTTTGTAAGTTTTCCCAGTTGCGGACTAATGCTGCTCCGCCTCCGAAATAGGGGAAATTCAGTTTTGACGAGTCGCTTTTCCCCCCTTTGCTACCTCTACGGCTACGCCCGCACGAGTTTTCTCGGCCAAAAACATGCTAACGAGGGACTCCTTTGCATGAGTCACGATGTCATTTGCATATTTTCTGCCGGTCCGTTTCTGGGGGGGGGTTGCGCAAAAACAAGCAGCGGGGACGTTTTCTTTTGGCGCAATAACCCCGTTTTTCGCAAGATCGGTAGACCACCTTTTCGGGGGCATAAGGATCTTGTGGAAAACGGAGGTTTTGCGCCAACAAACAACAAAACCACGTCCACACTACTTTTTTTTCCTGCAAAAACCCTCTGTGCCAAAACAGTGAGCCCAAAATATGCAAATGAGGTGCTGTGATATGCTAATCCATGCCTCATTTGCATAATCAATGCCGGCAAAACCGGCAGTGTAGACGAAGCCATAGACAGAGCCAGCAAGTAGGGAGGGAAGGAGCCGGCACTCAGGGGAGGCAGAGGTGTAGCGGGAAGGCGGGGGAACTAACGGGGAAACCATCGGGTATCGACCAATGGAAGTTTTGTCAACGAATCGGTGAGCTGATTCAATGCCCTTCAACCTCCCTAGACCACAGAGGACTTTTCAGGGCCTTACAAGCCCCCTCCGTCCTCCCTCTCCCTTGACAATATATATAGTTAACCCGGAAGGACGGGGACCACCAATAAGGCAGCGGCCCCTGACCCACGGTTCCCCACCACGGTTCCCTCTAAGATTTTCCAGCCAGGAGTGGAGGGAGTTTTGGCTGGTGCACCAATATTGAGGTCACATGTGTAGATTTGAACTTGTGCCTCCATGGCACCCGATTTATTCACACACACACGTCCCTGGCTGCCGGAGCAGACCCTGCCTCCTCTGTCATGCAGCAGGTCCCATTCCCAGCCCTAGCTGCCAAAGCAGGCCCTGCCCCCAGCCACGGGGCAGCCCCCCTGCCCCAGCGGCTCTCCCCCCGATACAACCGAACTCCATATTTGGAGGGGTGGCCCCTTCGTAGAGCGAAGCCACCTTATGTCAGTGATGTTACTGAGGGCATGACTTCACTCCTGGCTGGAGGGGATCGATTTATCATGTTTAGTGCAGACACGATCAATCGAGCACCGATCGCTCTCCCGTCAATGCCGATGCTCCACCGGAATGAGACGCGCCAGGGGAGTCGATAGGAGAGCGTCTCCTCTCAACCCAATGCAGTGGCAACACCCTAGTCTGGTGTTTCTTAAACTGCGTTCCATGGTACACCAGTGTGCCGCGAGGCAGTTGGAGATGTGCCACAGAGAACAACAGAGTTCAAAATGGCCACCCTTTTTTTTTTTGTCAATAACTTTCCCTCCCAATTTTTTTTTTGTTCAACAAAAAATCTTTGCTGTTTTTCATAAACGCTGCCCTAGTGTGTAGAGCTAAGAAAGTCGACTTCAGCAAAGTTGCCTAACTTAGATTTCCTCCTACACCATGCAGTTCTGCCTCAGAGGCAAAATCATCGATTTTCTTCCCATATCTGTCTCTAGTACTTCTTCAGCTCTTCCTCCTCGCGGCCGTTCCAGGCGTGGTGAGCTCGCCCGGCAACCTGGAGAAGTGGGAACGGTGCTTTGTTGACCCCGATTATGAGGAGCTGGTGGATCTTGCCAAGAACGGGCTGGGGGGAACGTGTCATTCGAAGAAGGTGGTGATCATCGGTGCAGGCATCAGTGGACTCACGGCTGCCAAACTGTTGAGAGATGCGGGCTGCCACGGGAAAGGTCAGCGGGTCAGCGTGCTCTCGGACTGGTCTCGAAGTTTTTGTCATAGCCGTAGCCAGGTAAAAAGGCGAATTTGAGCGTGTGGGGTGGACTGAGAGAAGGAAGAAAAATTGCCGGATATGCTTTCTTCTTTCCATTTCCAGACACAAAGTCAACAGACGTAAAGTTCGGGTGATTAGAAGAATGACAACATAACCAAACGGGGAAAACAAAAACCATGTGCTAATGACTACATTTTCTAACGGCTATATCCAGGGCTTGACAAACCGCGGCAAAAACCACTCGCCAGCCCCGTACCGCGCATGCGTGAGACCCGCACTGCGCACGCGTGAACCACCGGTGAACGGGGCGACCGGCTAAAATCTACTCACCACGGGCGAGTAGATAAGCGGATTTCGTGAGCCCTGGCTATATCTTATGAAAATGGTAATTCGTTAAGGAAAGGTCGCCAAAGACTCCAACACGTCACTCTAACCCCCACGACAGACCGGGGGCAGCTGGCTACAGGAGACTGGTGGATGGCCGACAGGCCGGGAGATGGGAGAATGTTTTTTTGTTTCTAAACTACGGGGGGGGTTTTTTCGAAAGGAGATATGCAAAGTTGGTGCTAATTTGCATATTTATTTATTTATTTGTTTACATAGTTTTTTACCCCACCTCTCTCTCTAAAATGTTCGAGGCGGCTTACAAAAATTTTAAACACGGTACAAATATATATCAAAATTTAAAATACGAGACCCCAGAGGGACATCTCCTTCCAATCGTTTTTTCGAAAGCAGGTTTTTCAGAAGTGAAAGTAATCTGGACACGCGGGGAAGGCTTAGGGGGGAAAACCCCTTTTTCGAAAAACCGCGTAAACCTCCTTTTTTTCGCAAGAGCAGTTTTTTCTCAAAAAAGAGTTGTTGTGTTTCTCAAAAAAAAAAACCTGTGTCCAGACTACTTTCACGTTTGAAAAACCCACTTTGGAAAAAGTGATCGGAAAAAGATGTCCCTCTGCGGCAGTGTTTTCTCACGGACCATCGTCGGGGGTTCCGCGAGAAATCGTGGAATAAATAAATAAACATTTTGAAATACCACGAACAATTCCAAATTGCTCTACAGCCAAAATGCTTCTGAAATATATGTAGTCAAACTTTACTTAAAATTTAAAATACGAGACCCCAGAGGGACATCTCCTTCCAATCGTTTTTTCGAAAGCAGGTTTTTCAGAAGTGAAAGTAATCTGGACACGCGGGGAAGGCTTAGGGGGGAAAACCCCTTTTTCGAAAAACCGCGTAAACCTCCTTTTTTTCGCAAGAGCAGTTTTTTCTCAAAAAAGAGTTGTTGTGTTTCTCAAAAAAAAACCCGTGTCCAGACTACTTTCACGTTTGAAAAACCCACTTTGGAAAAAGTGATCGGAAAAAGATGTCCCCCTGCGGCAGTATTTTCTCACGAACCATCGTCAGGGGTTCCGCGAGAAATCGTGGAATAAATAAATAAACATTTTGAAATACCACGAACAATTCCAAATTGCTCTACAGCCAAAATGCTTCTGAAATATATGTAGTTTCTTGCGGAAATACTATGCTGCTCCCATTCGGACAAAAGCCCTCTTGTGCAAATCATTTGCGCAAGAGAGCCAGTGTAGACAGCACAGTGCTGTTTACCGCAAAAAAACCCCGATGGATAAAATGGCGATGGACGCTTTTCCGCAAAAAGTGCTTTTGCCAATCTAGATGTCCTGCCAATCTAGACGCGATTTTCCGAAAATGCTTTTGACGGAAAACTTTTCCGTTAAAAGCATTTTCGGAAAATCATGCCAGTGTAGACGTAGCTGATATGAATTGTATCGTGTTATTCCTAGAAGTCCTGGATGAGGCAATCATAACGAAGCATACATCACTCTGCTGAACAAATTGCCCTATCTCAGCTCTAGAAATCCTACAGTATCACGCTCTCTTATTTGTCAGGGACACATTTCTGTTTAGCCAAAGTGAGCAGAGATGCCTCGTACTTGTGTGAACAGTGCAGATAACTTCTGCTATGTTTGTGGTTAAGTGACTTTTGCATCACAAAAGCGCAGCATAACCACTCTGGTTAAGGAAGCCTGCCACCTTTATTTTGGCTGCAAAATTGGAGATCAGGACAAGAGGTGGGCCCCACACATATGCTGCAACACTTGTGCAACAAATCTTCGTCAGTGGTTGAACAGGAAAAGGAAATCTCTGCCTTTTGCAGTGCCAATGATTTGGAGAGAGCCAACAGATCATGCCAGCAATTGTTACTTCTGCATGGTGCCTCCAGTTGGGAAAGGTGTGTCAAAGAAGAAAAAGTGGACTGTGTGTTATCCAAAGATTCCATCAGCTGTACGCCCAGTACCCCACGGAGAAGGACTGCCGGTTCCTGATGCACCAGAATCATTCTCACTTGAGCCAGACGAGGAAGAGGATGAAACTTCTGGTCCTGAACCATCAATGTCACAGAACCTACATTTTCTCCCGTTATCCTCCTCTGAAGCACACCTCATAACACGAGGGCTGTGTCTAGACTGGCAGGATTTCCGCAAAATCATCTGCTTTTGCCGAAAAACTTGCCAGCTGTTTTCGTTCAAAACGATAACCTTAACTCTGACCCTTCAAATAAATTTCAATCGTGCCTATCTAAGAGAACATTTTTTAATAACTCCGGCAATTAACAGGCATGCATCTTAGTAGTTGTTTTTGTAGCAAATATAGGAACATTGTAGGCCATTCAGTTCACTTTGGCTGTGTCTAGACTGGCAAGTTTTTCCACAAAATCAGTGGTGAAACACTGGAATAAATTGCCCAGGGAAGTTGTAGAATCTCCATCCCCGGAGATATTGAAGAGTAGGTTGGACAGACACCTGTCACAGATGGTCTAGACCAGTGGTTCTCAACTCGTTTCAGTCCACAGACCACCAGGCCAATCCTAGGTGACGCTATGGATGATGCGCCGCGTGCTTGTGAACAGCCTAACAATGGCGCCTGCCCACACCGTGTGACTTTGAACAATGTTCCTGTGGTCCACCGAAAAAGTCACCACGGACCACCAGTTGAGAACCTAGACAGTCTTGACGATGTTTGGTCCTGCTGTGAGGGCAGGGGACTGGACTCAATGACCTCTCGAGGTCCCTGCCAGTTCTAGTGTCCTAAGATTCAGGGATGCATGTCCCTTCAGAAAGTGTGTTTTGAGCTCATGCTTAACTTTAAGCACCTGCTGAAGTCCGAGGATGTTTGCACTCAAGTTTAGCAGAGTACGTGCTTCCGACGGTGAGACCTGAGGGCCTACGCACTGTCCAAAGTCACTTTTATAAAATAGGAATTGTCCTTCCGTGAGGACCACTCACAACAGGAAGGACAACGGGCTAAATTAACCTTCACCGTGCCAGAGGGAGCTGGTCTTGCCTGGGGTGGGAAATCACAAGCCCTCTGTTCCATCTTTCTAGGTCCTGATTCTGGAAGCCAGCGACCGCGTGGGAGGCCGCATCCTGACTTATCGGGAACGCGACTGGTACGTCGATCTGGGACCCATGCGTCTGCCGGCACATCACAGGTAAGAAACAGTGAGCCCCGGTCAGCCCCGGGCCTTCCTGGGCATTGCGGAGATCTCAATTGGAAGATCACTCAATTGGAAGACCCCAGTTGAAAGATCACTCAATTGGAGGACCCAAATTGGAAGATCATTGTGAAGACCCCAATTGGAAGATCACTCAATTGGAAGACCCTAATCGGAAGATCATTGTGAAGACCCTAATTGGAAGATCACTCAATTGGAAGACCCCAGTTGAAAGATCACTCAATTGGAAGACCCCAATTGGAAGATCACTCAACTGGATGACCCCAATTGAAAGACCACTGAGCTATTCCTCCCCAATTGAGGAAGAATAGCTCAGTGGATTGAGCATTTGCTTGCTAAACCCAGCGTGGTGAGTTAAATCATTTAGGGCCAAATCCATCGGAGATGGTGCTTGGTCCTGCTGTGAGAACAAGGGACTAGACTCCATGACCTCTCAAGGTCCCTTCCAGCTCCAGGAGAGGGTATATCTCCCTATTTCTATCTCCCAGGGGCCACTGGGTTAGCTGGCAATTTTACAAACAATTGAAAAAAGTTTCCACACCTCTTTGTGTGACTGAAATATACAGGTGGAGCAAGCCAGTTAGATGGGGGTTTTGTTAGAGGAGCAGATCCGAGCCTCTACAATTCTTCCATCCTTTTGCCATTGACTGGTTTCCCTTTCTCCTCCCTCATCAGGATTGTGCGCGAGTTTGTCAGACAACTGAAGCTTCAGCTGAACCCGTTCTACAACACGGACGACAACGCCTGGTATTTGGTGAACGACGTCCGGGCCAGGCATAAAGAGGTGGAGAAAAACCCCGACGTCTTGCAGTACCCAGTGCGCCCGGCGGAGAAGGGGAAAACGGCCCTTCGGCTTTACAAGCAGGTGTTAGAGCCGGTAAGGGCGCCCAGCCGGGCAGGAGGTCTTGGCACTGACGTGGGCTCTTTGACCGCGGGGCCGGATGCGCCGGCTCGCCCGTGCACATAACCACCTCGCCCACATGGCGGGGGCCTGCCGGCCAACCCTAGAAGGCTCGTAGGCGCTCAACAGCCTGAGAGATGTTGCTTAATTAGTGCCCGGCTCGTCAGGTATTCCTCTAAGCTCCGCATTTCCCAACCTGGGCGTCTCTTGGCTTCTTGCACCACTGCCAATGTGAGCACACCCTGTTTAATGTCCCGCACCTAATCACCTCATTACCCAGTAATTGCCTCGTTACAAGTGGGGGCAGCTCCAGACACACCCGCCTTGTCAGCACCTCCCATGGCCTGGTGGCCCAGCATCCTGGGAAGAGGGGGGGCATCCTTCCGCTCACCCCACCGGGGGACCGGCACGCCCCACTCTGGTGTGGGGCAGCCCCGGTGCGTTCCCTGGCACCCGCTGGGGAGGTTGTGCCCCATGCCGCACGTGATTGCCCCGAGGGGTACGAATCACAGATTTGGCAGCCTGCTGCTCACACGATAAATGGATTTAGGCACCTTGGACGTCAATGGGGCTGACTCAGGGTGGGCTGCAGGAAGGGATTTAGGCACCTAATGCCAACCCATTCCATAGACAGATAGACACAGGGGGTGTGTGGGGATAGATAGATAGATAGATAGATAGATAGATAGATAGATAGATAGATAGATAGATAGATAGATAGATAGATGGGGGGGTGGGGATGGATGGATGGATGGATGGATGGAGCGAGCGAGCGAGCGAGCGAACAGGGGCCGGGGGGACCCCGGGGAAAGCGAGACCGTGACCAGCTCCCTCAGCCGGGCCACCCACACCTGTCCTGCCCCCTTGTTCATCGGCACCAGGACCTTATCCGGCTGCTCTGCCGGCCCCCAAGTGTCTTCTCGCTGAGAAATGACTCACCTACGGGATCGGAGATAGAAATGCTAAAGTGTCGCATGGGGCAGCTTCTGCCGGGGGTCGGGGGCTTCTATTGGGGGCCATACTGGGTCAGACCATCTAGCCCAGTATCCTGTCTGCCCACAGTGGCCAGCGCCAGGTGCCCCAGAGAGGGTGGACCGAAGACAATGATCAAGCGATTTGTCTCCTGCCATCCCTCTCCAGCCTCTGACAAACAGAGACCAGGGACACCATTTTATCCCCTGGCTAATAGCCTTTTATGGACCTAACCTCCATGAAATGATCTAGCTTCTCTTTAAACTCTATTATAGTCCTAGCCTTCACAGCCTCCTCTGGCAAGGAGTTCCACAGGTTGACTACACGCTGTGTGAAGAAGAACTTTCTTTTATTCGTTTTAAACCTCCTACCCATTACACGGACAAATCGCTGCCCTTCTCCGGTAGATGCCAAAATCAAGCCATGGCCGTCTGAACTGGGGGCTGGCATTTCGGTGTCCAGCCTGCGGAACGGCATAAAGAAATAAGTCTGGACTTGTCGTTTGCACTGACTTCCAATGCAGCGCTCCTAATGGATTAGAAGGGGCATTGCCAGCACATCTGGGCCCCCCCACTACAGAAAGGATGTGGACTCATTGGAGAGGGGCCAGAGGAGGGCGACCAAAATGATTCAGGGGCTGGAGCACTTGACCTATGAGGAGGGGCTGAGGGATTTGGGTTTGTCGAGTCTGCAGCAGAGAAGAGCAAGGGGGGATTTGAGAGCAGCCTGCAACTTCCTGAAGGGGCCACCAGACGAAACTAATGGGTAGCAGGTTTAAAACAAAAAAAGGGAAGGTCTTCTTCACACCGCGCCTAGTCGATCTGTGGAACTCCTTGCCTGAGGAAGTTGTCAAGGCTAGGACTGTAACGGGGTTCAAAAGAGACCTAGATACATTCATGGAGGTCCCTAGAGGTGTTTCAGTCCCGGCTGGACCAAGCCCTGGCTGGGTTGATTGAGTTGGGTTGGACTGGGGGCCATTTCTAGGGGTGCAGAGCCGCACTTTAAGGGAGGAAGAGGCACGTGTATGGAATGGGGTAGGGAACACCCAAGCCATCGGTGTCTTCCTTGCTCTCCAGGTGACCACGGACTGCCAAGCCCTGAAGGAGAAATACGACTCCTTTTCCACCAAGGTAATGGGAGCTGCCATTCCCGCGTCGTTTGGGCTCCATCTTCCCCGTTTCCCGAGGAGGAGATAATGCAATAGACTCCTCCTATCGACCCAGCAGGACCACGGCCCCGTGACGACCGCATGGGTCTTCAAACAGCTCAGCCGACGTCCTCCTGGTTCTGCTTTGTAGGAGAGGGGAGACGGGAATGGGGCAATTAATTCACAGCCTCTAGGGTTACGTCTAGACTGCATCCCTTGTCGACAGAGGGATGCAAATCAAGCACCTCAAAATTGCTAACGAAGCCGGGATTTAAATATCCCACGCCTCATTAGCATAAACACGGCCGCCGCTTTTTTCGACACCGTTTTTTTGGAAAAAAAAGTTGCCTGCCCCTTTAAGGACGGCCATTTTGAACTCTGTTGTTCTCCATGGCGCACTTCCAACAGCAAAACACAGTTTCAGAAACACTGCTCTAGACACGGCTCTGTCAAAAATAAAGCCTTTTTCGACAGATCCTGCATTCCTCCAAAAAAACGCCGTGGTGAAAAAAAAAGTGGCGGCCATGTTTATGCTAATGAGGCATGGGATATTTAAATCCCGGCTTCATTAGCAATTTCAATGTGCTTGATTTGCATCCCTCTGTCGACAAGAGGTGCAATTTCGATGTGCCTAATCTACATCTGTCGACAGAGAGGTGTAGTCTCATCACACCCTAGGCCTCTCCAGCCCAAAATGCCAGAAAGCAGTTGATCTCTGTGTGGAGAAGACAGTCCATGGTTCTCTCGTGCAAGGCAATTAAACCGTGAGGCTACGTCTACACAGCAACGCTCTTGGGAAAAGACTAGCGTTGTTTCGAAATAACCGCGGGCGCGTCGACACAGCTGGCAGTCCTTGCGAAATGCTATCACGCCGGCAGGCATCTGACTCCAACCCCCGGATCCCTCGTTGTATGAGGTGGAAGCTTATGTCTACATGGCAGATTTTTCCAGGACGCCGGAAAAGATGCTACGTCCAAAGGAACGGGTCCGCTTTTCAGGAAAGAAAAAAAGTCGGAAAAGCAGACGCGTTCTTCTGCCATCCCGGGAAATCTCCTTGTATGAGGAAGAAGGGATGTGCCAAAAGAGGAGGTTTGTCCAAAATTTGGTGCTGGGTAGACGCGCCAAATGTCGGGAAAACCTCTTCTGAAAGAAAAGCCGGGAAAGGTTTGCAAATTGTGGTTTGCCATTTGCCTATCGTTGCTTTCCTATGTTGTATAACATAGCCTAAAGGACGGTGGAGGAAGAGCGCTCCGTTTCGAAATACACACTGTGCAGATGCTCCCAATTTCAAAATCTGCTATTTCGAAACGAGCGCTGGAATTGATGGCGCTCAATCTGCGTCGCTTATTTCGAGTTAAGCCCGGCAGTGTAGACGCGCCCTGGTCGGGACGCTCCGGATGAAACCAGGCCTTCGCGGAAGTCAACGGCAAAGCACCGGCTGATTTCACGGAGATCAGGATTGCAGGATGAGAAACTTGGGGGTCACATTTCACGGAAGATGTGGAGAAATTGGAGAAAGTCCAGAGAAGAGCAACAAGAATGATGAACGGTCTAGAGCAGGGTTTCTTAAACTGTGTTTTGCAGTTTGAAGTGTGCCCCAGAGAACAACAGAGTTCAAAATGGCCGCCCTTAAAGGGGCAGGTGGCTGGATAGATGGTCTAGACCAGTTTTCTTAAACTTTTCAAGACTGAGGAACACCAAAAAATAATTTTTTGTATGGAGAACACCAAGGATTTTTGTTGCTATTGAGAAAAAGAACAAGCTCCCGGGGAAAAGTTGTTGAGCAAAAAGAAAAAAAGGAGGCTTTCCCCTTTAAGGATGACCATTCAAAAAAAAAAAGAGGGCTTGTCCCTTTAAGGGCGTTTTTTGTATTCTGTTCTCTCCGCGGCACACCTCCGACTTTAAGAAATGCTGGTCTACACGGTGCTTGGTCCTGCCATGAGGGAGCGGGACGGGACTCGATGGCCTCTCGAGGTCCCTCCCGGTCTGTGGTCCGATGGGGAAACAGACAAATTACACAGGAACGTGGCGGAAGGGTCAGGCGTCTGCCCGTCCTCATGCACGTCGTATCCTTCCTGTGCGCCTCGGCGAGGCAAGATCCCTTAGGCTGCCATGTCTCAGTGGGGATAAAATACGCCTCCCTCTCTCCCCCGCCCCGTTCTTCCGCCCCCCCAGGAGTATTTGATCAAAGAAGGAAATTTAAGTCGAGGCGCCATCGACATGATCGGGGACCTACTGAATGAAGCAGGGCGATTCCACCTGTCCTTCCTGCACTCGGCCATGGGCTACGCCGCCATCGCCAACCAGAGGTGAGCCGGAATATGTCTTCGTCTTCTCTCACGGGAAGGCTCTGGCCCCATGGCCGGATCGCTCAGTCGACCCCCGCCCCCTGTTTTCCAACACCTCTTCAATCTAGAGGTGAGCCGGAATATGTCTTCGTCTTCTCTCACGGGAAGGCTCTGGCCCCATGGCCGGATCGCTCAGTCGACCCCCGCCCCCTGTTTTCCAACACCTCTTCAATCT